CCCCCCAACCCCACACAAATGGAAGAAACACACATTGAGTGCTGTAATATCTGCCCTTGAAACTCAGCTAAGTTTTAGATTGAGTAGACAGAAGGACATCTGACCTTTCAAAAGATTGGAATGTGATCAGCACATAAAACAGTTACTATCCAACAACATTTTCTGGACACCCTCTAAGGGATAGCCCAATAGGAACTCAGGAGGGGGTGATGGCAGAGCTACTGCACAAATTATTGCTCTGCTACTTAGAGAAGTGAGCATGATTTAATCTTTTCTAGATGAATTTGATGTCATATGAATTAGCAATATTTTTTCTACACTCTGTGTTTTGCCAGTTTTGCAGATTTTTCTTTTCGTTTTTCTTTTGGCTATGTATATGTGTAGAATGATTTTTTTTCACATCCCCCTAGAGTTTCTAATGGTCTACCCCTTATTCCACCATAGGCAGATAGCCAGATAAATAAAAAGTAGTAAAGTCAGGAATAACATTTTTTGTTTATTTATTTGTATATTCTAAGAGGCCTGGGACTATAAAATCCTCAGTATTCCATTTCAACCTCATAACAGAGTTCATAACCTGTGTGTGACCTTTTGATCCTACCCTGATTCCATTCCCATCTAACCGCAGACACCATATAAAAATCAAGTTTACAAAACAAGAAGATTAAAACTCTGCTCTTACCTTCATCTTAAGCATCCCTAAAGTAATCTGAAAGAGCACAACCGATCCTTCGAAGAAAAACAGATCCCAAAGCCTCAGCAGCACTTTCATATGCACAACACTGGCGAAAGCAGTGAGAAACCAGTGCAGACTAATCAAGGAGAGCTCTGTAAAAAAGTAAGAAAAACAAACACTGATAGTTGATGGAATGCAAGAACAATGACATCACATACACACAGACTCCATGATTAATTTTAAAAGTTGACAAAGATCAGGAGAAACATGATCCTAACAGAGTTATCAAATTATAGCTTAGTAAAAAAAACCCAACATTCATCTAATGATAATATAACAGTTGGGACACTGTCTTCAGGAAGTACTGAAGAATAATGGAGTCCATCTTTGAAACCAATTCAACTTTTTTATATTTCTGTAGAAATATACAACTGTCCAAGACCACCATATAGTGGACATAAGAAATATCAATTACAGAAACTAAGTCTACATATGTTATGAACCCATGATATGTATTGGGTACACAGCAGCACCAACTTACATACACTGTAGGAAATGAAAAGTACATAAATTCTTGTTGGGCGTCAGAAGTCAAAGGTCACAAGCACATCTGAAAACCAACAGCTAATTTACATATTGAATTTTTTTTTATTTTTAGAAATTTTGATTCGGTTCTTCCAAATTTTTTCTACTATCAAAAAATTTATTTTAATAAATAGCAACACCAAATAACAATTTAACCCAATTGAGAATGGGATTTGCGACAGAATTACAGAATAGTGGTGGTGACAAGAAGAGTATGTATCAGCTCTTACCGATATCATGTTCCTTGAGCACATGATCCAGATCTGGTAAATAACTTACGAGTAATTGACGTAAAACCCTTTGATCTGCCTGAAATCAAACAAATTGAAAGTTATTAAATGCGAAATGATTAGGCACCAAATGGATCTGGAGTGGATAACTGTCATGATTATGGTAACACATTGAGCTTTCGTACACCGCAAATAAGCATGGTTACACTATAGAAATACTTTTAATGAAGTACATTTATTGATTTATTTTATTTATTATTTTGGAAAGCCTTCCTTAACGTCCCCCCACCCCTAACGCAAACACAAACCCTCAGGCCCTAATGTAATTGTATATGCCCCTCCAGAGTACTATACAGTGTTCTGGAGACGGGCATATACAATTAAAATAGGGGAGGGGCAAGGTTAAGATTAGAGTTAGGGGTGAGGGGAGGAAGTCTTACCATTCATTCATTCATTCATTCATTCATTTATTTATTTGATGCAACACTTTTTGAAACATGCGCTTACTAACACTGGGAGTTGCAAATTGCAATACAATTCATGATTCATTGCTAAACATATTCACAGAGAGTCGGTCTTCAATACCTCTGCTACAAACAGCATTTCTTGCTCCATATTACTGTGAAATACTTTATTTTAGCTGGAATTAATTTTCGCTGAAAAATCTTTTTTGATGTTTTGTATGG